CCCCCCCCCCCCCCCCCCCCCCCCCCCCCCCCCCCCAACCCACCCACCCACCCCCGGTGCGACTTTTGATTTTTCTTTTCCATTCGTTTTCATTCTTTTTATTTTTTTTTGTATTTGGGTTTTTTTCCCCTTTCTTTCTTCGTTTCTCTGTGGTGTCGTCCCAACAAAGCCGGGGCCTGGCCTTCAAGCAGCAACCGGGCCTTCCCTTGGACGACCCTGGAACAATCTGGCGCGTTAAGACAAATGCCCATGGCCAATGTATGGGCCAAGTACTGGTGGTTTTAGTGGGTAACAGATGCAATTTTCCCAAAAAACAAAAAAGTGTGCACGTCTTCCAACTGGGACAGAATCGCGGTTCGACACATTGCACTCTCTTATAGGAAATACTTGGCCAAAGAGATACCCATTTCCTTTGCTACGGCCCTCTGCCACGAATGAGCTGACGCTCCTCGCTGGGCGGCCGATGTACCATACATGTGAAAACAAGTGAAATCAAACCGGAGCCCTGTTTACTTCGAGGAACATCGTTGAAGAGACGCTGGTGGAGCACAAGCCTCAGGCTCAGACTGGCCTCTTCGACTGTGGTCTACGTATCCCCCATGGCGGCAGCCAGGCACGGTCATGGCTGCGACCCTGCGGTCCTGATCGCAGATCGTGGTCAAGAGAGAAAAAAAAAAAAAAAAAAAAAGCAAAAACTTCTGGAAAAAAATATGTTACGCAGAAAAATAAACTGAACAACTTTTGCCTTATGGTGGTGGGAGTTGGTGTTTTTGTAACAGAGAGTGGTGGGGAGGTGCTATCTGCTCTGAATCGCGCGGAGGTGGGTGGGTATTGCGGGGACTTTGCCTGCAGTGCTGGCCGTTTCTTTTTTCTTTGTGGATTCTTTTTGACATGGGATTTGCGGTGTGCGGCAGTCCAGTGTTTGGGCTTGACCGGTCATGTCTCGCCCCTAGTTTAAAACAGGACCGCAGAATCTTTGTTAGGGATGCCAGGCCCGATTCCTGGCATTGCAATTGCAATATAAGGGACACCGGGCCCGATTCCCGGATTAAAAAAAAAAAAAAAAAAAAACTTTACGAACTTGAAGTAAAAAAACAAATAAACTCCATAGTTTTTCTTACCAAAAAATAAAAAGTAAACAGCTTTTGCCTCAGGAAAATTAGTTTTTGAATTTTTAAAATTTGGAGACAAACTCTGACAAAGTAAAAAAAAATAAAAAAAATTGCACAATGTAGATCGCGAAAAGATCTACAACATCCTATTTTTTGTTGTCTTTTTGAGAACATTTTGCGCCCTAAAAAAATTCCTGAACGTCGCGACCGCACCCAACCGCGACCAGAGGGGTGGCGGTCAGGATCCCGGGGCTAAGTCCCACTAGCATTGCTCCTGTTCCAGTAATGGGGACCTCCCTGTTGTGTGACACTCCTTGCCACCGCCGATTTCCATGGATCGTAGGGCAAGGCCATTCTCTTTACTTTCGTGTTGGCTTATTGAGGCAGGCAGTGAACTCGGTGCTTCCCCATTGGCTGCACATGTTCACCTCATTTTGTCTAAGGTGGTCTGTGAGTCCTCTCTGGGGCGGTGCACATGGCACTAGAGAGGGGGACCGCCTGTCCTGTTTCAGATATGGAGGTGATGAACCAAAAACAAAAAGGGAGAGGGCAAAAAAAAGAAAGAAAATTTTGAGTACATACCTTCCACTTGTCGAGGCTAGAGTTACGGTAGCAAAACCCTGCATCACCAGATGGGTTCGAGAAAGAAAAGCATTCACCATTGGGCCTCGCTGCACAGCTCTCCAAAAGTGGAATTCGACAAGGAACTTTCTGCAAGAATGGAACGATACACTTCCATATGTTTTGTCTTTTGTGAATGTCAAGCTCAGTGCAGCTGGGCCCATTAAGGGCCTCGATGTTTTGTCTTTTGTGAATGTCAAGCTCAGTGCAGCTGGGCCCATTAAGGGCCTCGCCACACCAATGTCGAAACATCACGAAATTCGACATACGTCAGGAAATTCTCGACATTCCCTCTTTCGACAGAAAGCCACTCTTCGCCACACAGCATGTCCAAGTGAAGAACTCACAAGTCCTGTGCACAAAAAAGACAAACTGGGGTGAAGATAGGACAAGCGTTGGTGCGTTCTCTTTTTCGACATTCGGGCAAGAATTTGACATCCCATCCGAGGAGTGTTGCAAATGTGCAAGTTGCTGGCTGGGAAGCGAGCCCTTCTCTAGAGGTGTCGAAACCCTTTCCATGACAGCTCCTGAATTTTTTTTGCATCTCAGATTTCGACATGCTGTGTGGCGAGGAGAAAATGTCAAAAATGCAGTTTTCGACATTGGTGTGGCGAGGCCCCAATTCTTACCCCATACTCGGCTATGACGGGGGCAGCTTCCTCTGCGTTATTTTTTTCCTTCCAGGTACTCCATGTGGAAGAATGGTAAGCGTGGAAGACAGCTGGAAAATTCAATATTCTTTTGCCCCATGGAGAAAATAAGGCCACACAACGCCGCCCACCGTCGCAATGTGCTACGTAGTTCTGAAGACAGGAACAGGACCGCCTCTAGTGGGACTTGGCCCCCGGCCACATGCCACGTTTGACCCCGGTGCTGCTGCCGCAGGTGATACATAGACTGTGGTCATGTACCTAGCTGTGGCCTATTGCAAGGATTTGTAACGCGTGGTGACCTCAAGTTGGTCATTGCCCCATCGACAGCAGAGGTCAGCTCCAGATGATATCTTGAATGGCAATGAATGGAAGGCAATGTCAGCCCACTGGGGTTGAGAGTATGAGCTGTACTTGTTTTGCCATCAACCCTGAGCTTGAGTCCTGGTTCCATTTTCGGTCAGATGAAATGCAAAGTTCATAGAGAAGAAAACCACCAGTACACATGGTCCTGGTAGCCCTGCACAGCGTGCCAAGTGTTGCGTGAATCGCCAGTGGCACACTTTTTTGTTTTTTGGCTGGCACAGCCAGCCATTGTAGTCCGGTAGCCCTAAGCCTCCGAAATTTGAGGACTAGGTAATAAAGAAATCTTGCAAGGCTGGAAAAATGCGGGCGCAGCGCTACCGGGGGCGCTGCGCCCGGCCCGACCAAACATGCTCCGTTCGAAACGACGCGTCTGCATGGTGCCTGGCTAGACGGCGGGAGTAAATTGAGCACGGCAGTGGGAGAAGCGGCAGGGCTATGGTGGGAGGTGATGAAGATGACACATGGCGAGTGTTTTATGGGAGGGGTTGGAGTGCTCACGTTGTTCGCAGGGGCCATCTTCTCTTCTCCGTGTGATCTTTGAAGTCGGCTGCTCAGCTCAGTGTTTGCGGAAAAGCGTTTCAAGGGACCATGCAACGGATTGGGGTGGATCTGACCTAGGTGATTCCCTCAGATTGGGTTGACGTATCTACATGCTCTGCGACAGGTGGTATAGTTTGCGCGTCCCTAATACTCTCGAGACTACCTGTGAGCGACTATTGGGAGTTCCGCGTCCATACTCCATTGCTCCTGCGTTTCTGCCCGTGGCATAGATCCTGTGAGGTGTCGCCTCTGGTGATGCCTGTGGAGTGCAGCGGAGAGAGCCTTGGGCAACCCGAAGTGCGAGTGAAGTGACTGCCCGTCATCACCGGTGTCTTCGTTTATCGCCATCATCATTTTTTCGTGATCATTACGTCGCCGTATCATCATCATCATCAGCAGCAGCAGCAGCAGCAGCAGGGTGCGGCTCATCATCACCTTCATCAGGGCGCTGGGCACCATCATCATCAGAGTGCTGGGCGCTGTTCGTCATTGAGCTGATGCTTGTCATCATCAGCATCACGGTTGGTCGGTATCATCGCCAGCAGCAGCACTAACGTCATCGTGTGCGTGGTCGTCGGGGTGATGGGCGTCATCATCATCAGGGCAAGGGGCGCTGTTCGTCATCATCATCAGGGCAAGGGGCGCTGTTCGTCATCAAGCTGAGTTTCGTTACCAACAGCGTCAAGGGGGTGATTCGTCGTCACTATCATCCGTCATCATCATCATCATCATCATCATCATCATCGTTATCATCACTGTCAAGGAGCGGTTCGTCACCGCCATCATCATTATCATCCCGTCGCATCATCATCAAGGTTTGTCGGGATCATCATCAGTAGGATGCTACTCGTCATCATCATTACCAGCAGCAGCACCAACTTCATCAACAGGAGGTGGATTATCATCACCATCATCCTTTCGTGATCGCAGGGCGCTGTGCGTCGTCGTCGTCATCATCATCATCATCATCGTCATCATCAAAATCAGTATCATCACCATCAGCATCATCGTCATCATCATCATCACCAGAGCATTGGGCGCATCATCATCAAGGGTTGTCGGGATTATCATCTGTAGGGTGCTGCTCGTCATCATCATCACCAGCAGCAGCACCAACGTCATCAACAGGAGGTGAGTTATCATCACCATCATCCTTTCGTGATCGCAGGGCGCTGGGCGTCGTCGTCGTCATAACCATCATCATCATCATCATCATCATCATCATCATCACCATCATCATCATCATCATCATCTTCGAAATCAGTATCATCACCATCACCATCATCATCATCATCATCATCATCATCATCATCATCAATCATCTGAAAATCGTTTAGTCTCAGGGTGCCGTTTTCGGCTTCACGTACATCCCAATTAGCTACATCTTGGTTACTCATATCTAGGTCATCTATATCTTGATTACCTAGATCTCGATTACTTACTTCTCGATAATACTTCCATCATCATCACTACCATCATCAATACTAGTATCATCTGAAAACTTTTCGGTCTCAGGGTACCGTTTTTGGTTACCCAATTATCCAATAGCCATTAATAATTACATCCTGATGAGCTATAACTTGATTACCTATATCTTGATCACCTATATCTCGATTACCTGCTTCTTAATTACATACCTGTTGATTACTACTATTCGTAGTAGTAACATCAGACAAATATGTTCAGGTTGGGATTGCTCAGTAATTTCACTAGTAGGTTTTGCTCTGCCTGTCCCCCCGAGTGGGGTGAGGCGAATTTTCTTTATTCTGTTTTTTCACGATTTTCTTGTTCCTGAGTGGGGATTTCGAATATTGAATTTTGCAGACGTTTTAGGGGGGATAGGATTTCGGGGGTTATGGCTGGAACTTTGGTAGGCAGGGGGGGGGGTTTGAGACCCCAGGGTACAGATATACGGTAGTTACCCACATCAGGTCTGAGAACCGCCTGGCTTAAGTTAGGGGACAAGCCAAGGGAAGGGAGGTAGGACTGTCAGCCTGGGCTCCGCCTGGCCTTGGGGAAGCTAGGGGAAGGAGAGATAGGGCTGGCCAGTTGTGGGTATAAACTACTAGTTAGCTGTCCCCGAAAAAGAAACCCTGGGGTCTGTTACAGGGGAGCCTTATTCTACAAGGGTGTTGCATGGTGGGAGGCAATAGCCCTATTGGGAGTAGGGCAGATCGGGGATTGTCTGAGTCTGGGGCCGGGGTTGGAGAGTTGGTCGCCTTCAACCCCAGCGAGGGCAGACAGGGACAAGGGGTGGGCAAAGGCAGCCTCCAGGAGGGGATTGGTTGCCTTCGCGGATGAGGTGGAGGGAGGGGAGGGGATCTGTTCTATGTTGGGGCCGAGGAATTTCCTCGGTGGAGGCAGCACGAGACATGGTACAGTGGGTGTGGATTGGTTTGAGCTGTCACCATTGGAATCGTATCTTCTTCACGATCTAATAAATTCGATGCCATCTGTGGCCTTACAATCTAGGCAGCACCTGGTTTTCTTCTTTATTTAGGATACAGGAATTCAGGGATTGTCGAACCTAGACTGATGACTGTTGAAGTTGCTTTGTTCGGTGCTCCTGGATTGCCGATGTGGTGAACTAGGAGGGGCTACCTTGACAACTCATGGGGCGGGGTTAGCCTAGGTAGTGAGAAGAGATCAGCTAAGACAGCGGGGGGATAGGTTTGTCTTGGTCCAAAGTTGCAATATCCTGGTAAAGGAAGGCTGGGAGTTGCTCAGGATTAGGATTCAGCACGAGTAGCTAGATTCCTTTGTTATCATCACTGGTATCATTAGTATCATCAGTAGTAGAATTTTCGAGGGTTTTTGCTGGTCTTATTTCCATGAAAGTTCTTGGTGAGGTTCCTGAAGGTACTTGATATGGGACGCTGGGCCCGGTTCCCAGCTAGTGTCAATTTGTGAGGATAAGGTTGTATCTATGGGACGCTCGACCCGGTTTCCAGCAGGTGTTGCTCCCCACCAATAGATGGAGCTTTGTTCAAAAAAAAAAAAAAAAAAAAAAATCTCTTATACATGACTTTCTCAAATTTGAAATCTCGCGATCTGTTCCAAACTTCGTTCGCATGTCTCATTAAAAATTCTTAAAAATTCTTACATTGAAATCTGAAATTCTACTCTCTTATTTTCCCTATTCTGTACAATTTTTTTCTTAATTTTTGTGTTCAGAGTATTGAAATTCGAATCTCAAATTGCTAAAAGATTCTTCTACAATTCTTACTTCCGATTTTTACGTCATAATTTTGCCTCCTATATTTGAATTTGAAACAACGTGCATCGGAGTTTATGTTGGTTGTAGTGGGTTGTTTTGGTGGTGATGGTTGGAGATAACACGTTGTGCGGCGAAGGGGCAAGCCTATAGGGCGGGAATAGGGTACAGCAGCCGTGGAGATGGTGGCTCAACCGCAGTAACTTTTGCCGGAGTAGGGGTGAGAATGAATTTTGTTGGCCAATTGCAACCAGTGTCTGGAGGAGCTAGATGATGGGAACCACAAGTATGGTGAGGATTGGTGGCTTGTTTGTTATCTACTGACGTCTGTTGGTCCCAGTGGCCTGCGAATGGACGAGGCCAGAACGACGCTGGTTGGTGCTAGGGCTTGGTAGGGCTGCCCTGTAACTCGAGTTGTACGGGGGCATGAAACCTGGTAGAGAGATTTGGGGAGTCGTTGAGGGTGGAAGGCGCTCTACTGTCTGCTGGTGGGCTGGTACTTTGTCAACACTGGCCGGAGCCGGGGCGGGTTGCTCTGCCCTGTAGCCT